GAATCACCCGGGAAAGGTTTGGTGGTTAAACACTGTGGAGCACGAAGTCACCTCTGCTCTTTGATGTTTCTAGAGGGGAGATGAAGAAAGAACTTTCTCTCCTGAACTTTTCCTACAGTCATAGTGTAGCTGTAACCTCAACAGCACTGGCTTGGAAAGGGAGAATGGGAATGGACTTTGAAGTTAAAATTCATGTTTTAGCTGTTCCCAGCTCTATTATGAATATTATCCCAAAATCCAAATCCAAAAAACTTCAACTTTATCAGAAATAGCTTGAAATCTGAATGTTGACTGCTAAAACCATGACTAAACCACAAAAGTGACTTGGATAAATGTCATCTCTGATCCTTTATCGATAGTGTCAGTTAAAGCCTTGAGCACAGCAGAGAATTAGTGGTGACATTTCTAGTGAGCTGTTAGTATCTGAGTCTCCCCAAGAGTCCTTCAGGCTTTTTAAAGTTGGAGAGACCTCTTCCAGTTTAGATTTAAACAGGAGAATCACTTTACCACTACCCTCATACACTGAGCTCACATCATTAAGTAAGAGTGGTTTCAACACAGACATTTCACTTGTGTTTTATTGCTGGTATTTTTATAAGGTATTTGTCTGTCTATCTGTGGGAATCCTTCAGCACAGAGCTATTTCTGCATGTCTGCTTTTAGATACTCATGAAATCAGTGTTTTGGTGCTTCCTTGGTATGTGTAGACTAATAAAATCCAGTATATTCATCTTTTCTACTCACTTTTTCCAAGCCTGTCTTTCTCAATGGCCTTCAGTGAGTACAAATGTCTGACACTGGAGGTTTATATGAGGTTTTTCTAATGCTCTGCTTTAGCTAACTCTGATCAGTCCATAATATTTATTACCTGAATGTAAGGCTTAGCAGCTGGGAGAGGAAGGGAAAGCCGCACAATAACAACAATATGTGTGAGACTTAGCACATTCCCAGAAAATGTAAACTTCCACCTGGGAAGAAGGATGATGGTTCCTAATAAAATAAAACTTCAGTTAGGTTTTCTGGTATGAGCCTCCTGTGATGATTTGGGAAGCCTCACTTGGCAGAGCTCAGTAACAAGTGTGTGCGCAGCCATGTCTGGTTCAAACTTCTTCAGGGTTCTGGGGCTTGTTTTTCTCTGCTGTCTGTGCCCTCCATAGAAATGTAAAGAGAAGAGAAACATCTGCACCTAGCACAGGACAACAAAAAGCATCATTAAACTTTGGGGATTTGTCTGGGTTGGGTAACCAAAGTGTTGGAGGCTGCCTGAGGTTTAGGTAAGGGTGCCACGCATTGTCTGACACTCCTCATTGACCCTCACTGGCAAAAGGGCTGAGAGGCTGATTTTTAAATTAAAAAGGTATTTTATACTCCCAAGTATTTTTAGGAAAGGCAGGAAATTTGTGTGTGGGGAGACCTTTTCAAGAGAAGAAGGTAGGTGAGTGAGGAAGAGGCAGGAATTCTCTCATAACTTTTTAGAGGGATCTCCTGCCCACACAGAGGAACACGCTTCAGAACAGAAGGCTAGACACGCAGGGAGGGATTTTAATCCCACAAAGGTAGGAAAATGTGCCTGAGGTATGTATTATTTGTCTAGGTTTTTATATGTCATGTCCTAGCCACGCTGTGTTTGTTTTGGAGCCGGTCCACTGGCTGTGCACATGTCACTCACCGCTGCCGGGTGGCTCCGAGCGTGGGCAGGGCAGGAGCCCTCCAAAAACACAGGGCTCGATACTCTGGATGGTTTAGCGAGCTGAATCATCTTGCCAAGGGGTCAGACAGGCAAGGTGCGAGGAAATTGGTAGGAATATTTGGCTATGACAGACACTACCTATTAGTTTGGGTGACACTGAGCTGTTAATGTGACTCAGGCACCTCATGACACCCTTAGACACCAGTGCTGGGGTGAGAACAGAGGGGAAAGGCTCAGACATCAAATTGCAGTTTCTGATTCAGACCAAGAGACAGTGTTTGGTCTCAAAACCAGCAGGTTTGTCGGGAAGGTGCTGTGTGGCACCTGTTTATCCTGTCACATAAGTCCTGCCCACCTCTGTGCGTAGTTTGGCTGTATTTGATATTTTCTTAGTCCATCATACAACTGTTTGGGATTTTTACCAGTCAGTGAGGTAATCTAAGTTAAAACGGTATTACCTTCTTCCACCCTTGTTTTGAGGATCTTTTTCCTGAGGATTTTCTCAGACTGAAGTGTTTCCAGACAGCTGTGGACCGGGGCAGAAATCATCAAAGTGGCTTTGCATTGGAGAAACCAGTCTGTGTATTTATGTTCCAGTTATAAAAGGTAGCTAAGACACATCAGCTGAAGTTAACTGTGAGTTCAACCAGGGCAGACATTCCAGCCTGAGGAATTTCCCTGGAGCTTCACAAGATCAATTCCCCTACGTCCCCAGTCAGCTGGGAGGTGGATCCCCTTCAGGGGTCAGCACATCCAAATTGTGGGTAAAAACAGGATTGCTGAGGGTTTGTTCAGCCTGGTGAGTCACTGGGCTGTGTGTAGGAGATTAGATACATTGGTTGAGTTCCACAGGGCAAAACCCAACCCAGACAGGGGAGACCGACATCAAGGCAGTAGCTGATGTTGTTATTGTGGAAAAACTTGTGTGTCTCCTTTTTCGAAACAATCCTGTAAGAATCTATTTAAGCCCTCTGAGCTGGACCTTGAGGTAGTCATCCCACACAGGGGTGAATTTGACTTCCAGTTTGTGTTCCTGCTTGCCACCAGGCATCTTGTGATAAGAGCAGTGCCACAGTTCGAGGTGGGAACTTCTCACCTTGCACCATTCTTGTGCTGGGCGTAGTCATTACTGAGGCTGAGGGGAGGTTTCCAATAGGGACAGAGGTACCAATGTCCCCAAATACTCGATAAACATAATTCAAGTGCTGCTGACGCCCTGTCCCTTCAATACACTGAGGGTATGATCCTTGTTTCTCAGTTTCTTGGCTTTAGCCTCTAACCTGCTGCAAACCTCAGCATCCTCAGTCCCTCCCCTGGCAATTAGGAGTTAAAAGAAGAAGCAAGATCTTCCTTGCCCTCCCCAAGAGCAGCTGTAAGCACCCACTACAGGGTGATGCTGAGCTCTGTTCTTCAGTCAGTGCCACCCTAAATCCTCAGTCCAGACCTTAAACCTGTGGAAAGAGCCAGGATTTCAAACTTCTCTGTTCTGTGCCTGCTTTCTCCCTCTTTTATTCTTGCTTCTTCCTGTTGCCAAGCTCAACATCTGGGGCTTTGGGCCTTCTATGAAATAAATGACTTCTGCTGTGTTGGGAGACTCCAGTAACTTGGCAAGTACTGGTGTGGATGGGAATTCACCCTGAGAGGTGGATAGCTTTCAGCCGGGCTCTCTGGTATTCAGCTAGACTGGCATCTTGGTTTTCTGCTGAGTCTGAGCTTCCACAAGTGGGCCAAGCAATAGCTCAGCTGAAGGCAAAGTAGAAGATTTCAGTGGGATTGAGCTAAATCTCTTAAATGGTAACTTGCAGGAAAAAGAAATTGTTAAACCAGCTTTGCAAATGGACTGTTTGTGGAGTAGGTGTGTGTTTTTCTCCTCAAAGGTTATTCACACAATAGAGAAGTTTCTGTAACTAAGTTTTCAGATGTGCATAATGATGCCAGTGTTTTGAAACTATTTTCCTTCTGAGAGTGTACATGTACCTTGTTTCAAAGGGACTTTATAAGAATTGGCTTCATCGGATTCTTATTCATCAGCTGTTGCCTTCAAAGGAAGGCCTTCTTGTAAGAAAATATGGCCATTAACTAATGCCTTTACTTTTCTTTGATCTTTGCCAGTAAAATTTCTTTCTTGAATTCCTTCTGTAGTCTTCCATATACAGTTTGTGGCATGCACACTTGTTTGTTCTTGGATTAGTTTCCAATTAATTATCAGAGCAAGTTATAAAAATTTCCATCCAATATGATAGAAAGGCAATTTTTGTAGAGCTGTAAAATCAGCCAGACACTGTATCCTTTCATGTGGTTTGACTTTAACCTAAACTGCCCTGAAGGTAAGAGATGAGGAGATGAGCTGCTCCCTAGTTCTGATGGGCATTTGCAGTCGGATGTTAGCACAAAGCAGGAAGCCCTTTGTCAATAATAAATCAGGTGTCCCGAGGAGGAAAATGTTGACAGAGGCCTCAGTGGTGTTTTTTTCTCTGTTATTAGTGCCTGCACAGTAGGATTAATGTCTGATGTGCTGCCTTCTGAGGTGAGTCAAATGTGAAAGCTTGAAGCTGGATGGAAGCATCAGGGTGTGCTCGGTGCCGCGGCTGGACGGGCAGCGTGGGGTGGTGGTGGAACACCCCACATCCCCCTGGCACAACCAGACCTGCTTTTAGCCTGGCCTGGGGAATGTGAACTTGTATAACCTCCCCATACACAAAGAAACACAATTACACCTCACATGCTTGAAAATACGTCCCTTAACTGCTGGTTTGTTGAGCCCGCATTTCCAAGCCTTCAGTAAAACATCCAAGCACTGCATGTTTGGTGACCACAGCTTCCTTAGTGCTTTTCCTGGGTAAGGATTATTTGGCTTTGCTTATTTACATCATGTGTTATCAGAATTATACCCCTCCATCTGCATGAGGAACAAGTAGTCTCAGGTCAGTGTTCTGCACTGGACATGCATCATGGCAATTGGATCCAGCCCTTCCCTTCCCAAACCTTCATACTTATCCCCCTTCCTGCTCTACCATTTACAGACACACAGTAGCTGGGATATTTCAGAGGTCTGATCCACCTCTCATGCTCTGACCAGAACAAGAGTTGCCAGCACTTTGTTTTCACTTGCAGTGGAGCTCCACAGGTGAAGGAAGTAGTGAGGTGTCCACGAAAACAGTCTAAAGCAAACACCCACCAGAGTGGAAAGCTGGGATGCTGCTGCTGATTTCCTTCTGACATGATAAACAGAATTGTATTGTCTACAATGACACATTTAGAGCTGAAGTAATTTTTTTTAAAAAAGCAAAATTACCTGTGTCTCAGTGCTGTAGCACTATTGAGATCCTGATTCATCCTTCTGAGGAGAGCTGGAAAAGAGTGGCAGACTAGTAATGTCACCTGGAGCTGCTGTAGCAGAGTCTTGCATGGCATCTTCATTAGAGCCCCAGTGGTATTAATTACTCAGAAAACTCATTTGTGGGCAATGACAGTTTAATAAGGAAGAGTGCTGAACTGAAATAGAAGTTATAACACTTGCAGAGAAAACAGTTTCTGTATGCTTGCTGCCCACAGGAGCAGAACTGCTGACTCGAAACCCAAGAGACTGCAGAGGTTATGGGGCAGGAGTGTGCTGATTACCTGCCATAAAGCCCTGGGCTCAGCTGTGCACACCATCACCTGCTGTAATTTTGCCTGACTAATGATTATAGGTTTAGGCTTTAACTCTGCCGTCTGCTCCGTGTGCAGATGGACACCTGCACCAACTGTGGCCAGAGAGGAGGACCCACGCTCAGGGGTGATTCTTGTTTTCTGAAAAGCCTCACAAATTCTGCCTTTCTATTTTGGTAGAAATGCCTTTCAACATCTCCAAGATTTATCCCGGGAATGCGATAGTTCAAGACTGTGGTTAACCAAGACCACTGAAAGCAGCGTTGCTGTTTCCAAAATCTAAGCAACATTAATGTTTCTATAAATACCATATAGCATTTCCACACAGTTTAGAAACTGCAGTTGAATTATGGAAAGTGAAATTGTAACACGGGCTTACGTAGGTCATCAGCTATCAGGGCTTCCAGACTTCCCCCGTCTGGACGAGATAGTATCTTGGCCTGAACCTTAGTTATTGTCCCTCTGGGCAAAAAGACCTTAGGAGGTGAGGTTGGCTGAAGCTGCAAGGAACTTTCCATTTCTTGTTAGGAGCCAGTGGATGGAAAATGTAAGCAGTGGGATAAAGGATTGAAGGATGATGCTGACCCTGAGCCACAGGTTGAAGAGTGGAGGGATAGAGTTTGGGAAAGGACAGATGGTTGTGTGGGAGACAGAATGAGAATGAGTCAGTCTGGAGTGACCAACAATCAGGAATGATGTTTGGAGCAATGCTGTGGGCTGCAGGAGTCAGGGACACACACAAGTCAATGATCTCATGCCTGGAAGGTCAGTGCTCAAATCTGTAGAAGCATCAAATGAGGGTCAGTGAGCTGGGACTCTAAATGTCCCAGCACGCTGAAAGTGCAAGCCTGACACACAGAGATAAAGGTTTTATTCCTAAGAGTAATGCAACAACCCAAATCTTTCTACTTTGCTGCTGTGAATTAGGGTGTTTCTGGTGTATAAATGCAAGCCTGTGTCTGAGCAGGCAATGGAAAGACTATAGCTTTGTTTTTCAGGTGAGGTACTGGCACCTCTGGATTAAAACCGTGGTTTTACAGCACAGTTGTATTCCAGATTCCATCTGACTTATAATGAATCCTGATTATCATCACACTAGTTACAGCACTTGTGTCAGGCTGAGCTCAACAGCATCATCTGCATGTCTGCTGCTAGGTATGTGCTGAAGTGTTTTATGGAGTCAGGACCTTTATATCTTTATTTTTAGGTCAGACATCTCATTTTAGCTAAGTGTCTTACCACTGCCTTCCACCTCTACTCTTGCATATATGTACAATGTAAGTTTGATATTCAGTAAAATGGATACCACCTATAGTCAAATTTTACTGGCAGCGAAATCAAGGCAATAGCAAAATAAACTTCTCTGGGTTTGAGTGATTAGAGCTCTTTATATCAGGCTGAGATAAAGACCCTGTGTGCAGCCTCTTACTTCCAAGGGATGGGAGAGGATTAATCCATCCATTTTTGCATCAAATTTAACTGGAAAAACCTGTAGGATCCAGAGAGGCTTTGCTGTGGAAGACATGCAGGAGGCAGATACCAGAGCCTGTCCCTAGAGTCTGTATCAGCCATGACCACTTTGATTTGAAAGTTTTCTCCTTGTCAAGGGCAGATTCTTCAAATTTATGCTCTGTTCAGAGATTCCTGCAGCCAGTGCTGCCCTGTGCAGGTGTTAATGCTGACATTGGTCTGGGAGGTTTCCTTCGTTGCTCAGCAATGCCGTATCTTTCTGACGCAACCATTAAATTAACAGCTTCCTCTAAGTGAGCTGGAGGTTAACAGGATGTCAGGACATAAAACAAATTTTCTTAATGTCAGTGCAGAGCCTTTGTTGTCCCTGTTAGTCACAGTGCCAAGACAGAAAGGTGTTTCTGCTCACAGGGGATCCCATCCCCAAACCGGTGTAACTGGTCAACACCCTTCCACTGATTCCCGTGGCTTTGGGGTCAGCCCTCGAGCATGGAACAGTTTGACCCCCCTGATTAACGCAGAAATCATATTTGGAAAAGATCTGTGTAGAGCTGACTCAGTGTTGGGTGGTTTTTCCTTGTGTTTATAGTTATTGAGCTGTTTAATACTGGTAATTATTAAATAGGGTCACCTGGAAAGACATAAGCACTCCAGCTCTTGCCAACAAACCACTTAAGCACCTGCTTAGAGATAAGCACACATATTAAGGCAAATGGAGTTGCTCCTAGGCTTGGTGTTGAGCAGATGTTTACAGTTTATGGATTAGGAGAAACTCCTTGCTTGAAATCATCATTTTTACCCCTAATGAGCAGAAATTAGATTCTAGTATGAGAAATAATTTTCATTATTCATAAAAAAAACCAAAAAACAAACAAAAACCTCTCCCCTTACTGAACTGTCTGGAATAAGGTTAAACTTCCCCATGCAAACCCTTAGAGCAATGCCATTTGTCAGGAAGCAGCAAGGTGCATGTACAGCAGTTACTGGAGGTGCACTGCAAAAATCTTTGTTGGAGCTTACAATATCCAGGTTTGGAATTGCAGACCTGCTCTGGATGTTACAAAACAATTTTTTGCAGAGACAGCATCTCACACTTAAACATGCCTGACCTTCTCCTGCCAGGAGTACCGTGGGATTGTGCAAAAGCTGAGATGAAAAGAGCTCCTGGGTTGGTGTACGTCCTGAAAGAGGAAGATAAATGGTAAGAAACACTCTGAATTCCACTTCTCTCTTGAAGCACTACTGCTGTGCTGGATTGCATCAGCATCCAAAGAGAGGAAACATTTTTCCAGAGAAGTCCAGCACAAACTGAGAGTTCCCATTAGGGCCACTGGGAAACTTTTATAACCCTGGCCCTTTGCTTGGTGATTGGGTGGACTGTCCCAAGCTGGGGCGTGGGCAGTGTGTGTTGGTGTGACCCCCACAAGCAAAACTGGTGCAAAGAGCAGGAAAATAAATGATTATCAGATCTTGGATGTGAATTCTCTTTAGTATTAAAAATGGATAAGCTGTCTTTTTGGGAGGAAGGTAGAGGAGGGAAGAGAAGGCAGGGAAGCCCTGGCCCTGCAGTGGTTTGAGCAGCACTCCTGTTACAGGGATCTGCAGCATCAGGCTTTAAACCAACTCATTAAAATCCTGATTCGTGCTGTGCCCACGGTGATGGAGGAAAGGGCCTACCCTGCTCCCACATGCACACGAGGATTTTCAGGGCTAGAGCTGAAACATTTGGCAAGTGAGTGCATGAAGCTGAAGGTTACCTGTAGGCAGCTGTTGCTCAGCCTGTGGGTGTTTCTATGGCTATTTAATTGCACGTTGCTCAGTACTAAATGAGTGAGACTTACGTGAATAACCACAGCAATGCAAGTGCTGCTGCCTCTGAGATAAAGGACCTTATTTGAGAAACAAATTCTTAACTAATAATACCATGGGCCCTGTGCACTTCTAAAAGTCTGTACTTATCACTGATAGGAAAGAAATGGTCTGGTTCTTAAAAATAAACCCAAAAGCATTTGAAGGACATTTCCCCACCACCACCATTTTTCTATTATTTTCCCAGGTTGCAAAAATAACATCTAATAATGAAATGAAAACAAGCTGAATAGTTACATTCAGTGGAGGAGGGAAGAGGTAGTCGCAGACAGCTGGAGCATGTCTGGGCCAGTGTCTCAGTTCTTTTCTTTCTGCTAGTTCAGTGCCACTCCAAGAATGCAGACAATGCTGGCCACGACTGTTTCATATTTGATTTCCACACTTAAATCTGTGCTTGTTAAACGAAACCCCATTGTCAGGCTGGCACACATCCACGCTGCCTCCTTGGGTCCTGCTTCAGAGCCTGCCGTCTGGGGCTTGAGGGTGCTGCTTGCATCCCTTCAGTGAGGATCAGGTATGCAAAGAGCGTTTTGCTGCTTTTTGTGCTGCTTGTGGCATTGCAACAAAAGCTTTTGGACTCTTCTTGCAGCCACATCCGTGCATAACCCTCATAAATCTTGGTTTGAGGGCAGACAGAGTGCTGCAGGGAAAGGTTGGGGGTTTGGAACTGCCTCAGTGGAGGATCAGTGGGGCACTTGGCTGGAGTCAGTCTCTGGGCAAGGTGTTGGCTGTGCCACCCGGGGGAGAAAACACTTGGGCAGGCAGGGTCTGGTTCTGTAGAGGACTGGTACCCTGCCCTGCTCAGGGAGAGGGTGCAGCTGGGGATGCTTGGGGTCTTGGTGAGGTCCCAGGGACGCTCTGCTGGGACAGGGCCATCGGGTCAGCGCTTGCAGAGCTTTGGTGAACATGGGCAAGAGAAATGCTGTGTGTTGGGAGCAAAGCAGGGACTGTGAGTAACGAAGGATCACTTGATTATCTCCTGTAAAATACCAAGGAGGGCGTGAAAATTGTGAATCTTATTAATAAGATTAGGGGATTATGAAATGCAAGAGCTGTCCAGTCCTTTGGACTGAAGACCCTTCTGGCCTTTCTCTCTCAATAAGATGGTTCCATGGTCCAATACCTGCCTGTCCACACCTTGTGCAGTGTAACTTATCAGTCAGTAAATGCCAGTGCTGCCACTGCAGGCAGAGCTCTGCCCAAGGCAGTTGGCAGCCCACTGTGGCACGAGAGGAGGGAGAGGGGATAGGATATGGCTGTGGGGAGTGATGCTGGAGCAGGAGGAAGCACTGGCTGTGTTTTGATTCTTCAGGTGTCCCAGAGGAGCCCACTACTGGGCTGTTGTCATGGAAACACTGTTTTTTTTTCGGGGATTCAAGACTGGCTCCAAACAAAGGTTAAAGGGAAGAAAAACCCCAAGGGACAGCATGCACAGAAGGTGAGATTTCCCTCAGTGCAGTAAAATTTGTGAATGTCTGAACCAACAGCGAGTCCTACAAGATGTGGGAGCTGGAGGAATGTTGGAGCTGGAAACTGATGCTATGCCTCACACAGGAGCTGCTTGGGGCATGGTGCTGGGCTCTGGCTCTGCTCTGGGTCACCCAGAAGCCTGTTTTTCCTCCTGCCCTCACCTCTCATCCTGCTGCACTGTCGAGGTGCTCCTGCCTAGGGCTCTATCTGGAGCAGAGATAAGACATGCTGAATGGTGGTTATTTTTCACACTCCTCTTGCTGTTGAGGTCTATGTTGGGATCAGATCCATGTCCATCTCGTACCTAGGCGTGTGTAGGTTTTGACAGCTCTGTGTGTTAATGGCAGAGCAGTGTCCAAGCCATAAGGAAGAGCAGAAAGGCAAATCTTCAGGTTCTGCTTTCCGTAACATCAAAAGCAGACTGTATAATTTCCGTAAAATTGTGCCCAGCCTTTGAATTCAGATGCCCAGGCTACACATGGAAAAGGCGTGTCCCTTTAGGCAAAACAGCACTGGGATGTAATGGATATGAAGGGCCAAATTTCTGGCTCATAAAGTGATCTAATGTAACGAACCCCATGGCAGAGCAGTCAGGCTCCATCCATCCTTGCCCAGCCGTGCCACCCTCCTGGCAATCCACCTTCCCAGCTGTGACTGATGCTCATGTGTCAGTGTCCAAACTGCAGCAGCTTCACAAAACCCAAATCTGCACAGAATACAGCCAGACTCAGGCATGAGTCCAGTATTTTAAGGGTGAGGGGGTATCACTCATCCCTCAGTGGGTCTCTGCAGAGGTTTGGGAAGTCAGCACAGGGGAAGGGGAACAGAACTGTAACCCAGGTAGCTGCTCCCAGTGATCCCAGCCAGCCAGCAGTAGCAGGATGGGCCAAGGAGCAAAGATGCAACGGCAGCAGAAAATTGCACTGAGGCGCCTGCGATGCTCAGGATGTTGAAGGCAAAACTGGCCTCCCCCTGAAATGGAGACAAAAGCATTTTATCACTTTTATGACTTGCTGAGTGATTATTTGTTTTTTTTTAAAAAGAAACCTTTAAAACTAAAAGGCTTAATATTTTTTGTATTTCTTCATTTCCAACTTGAATAAGCCTCCTTTTTTTATATATATATTTAATCTTCTTTATTCTGTGTCCAAAAAAGGATGTGATGGTAAGGGAAATTAGTAGCTTAAATGTCATGAACTTATTAAAGAGAAATGCAGATTATTTTTTTTTTTTAACAGGGAAGACAAAGTCATTGAAACCATATTTTAATAAGAATAATAGAAGAATAAATTGGAACAGGTATACTTATACAATTTGTCATATAATGTTTAAGTACAATGGGTGGCCTTTAAAATTTAAACTGCATAGCTGAATGCTTAAAAAAATTCCTCATTATAACACAGAAAATGTGATAGGAAGTGGCAAAATGACTGTGCTGGTGGGACATACAATGTGCACCCTCGGGGAGGCCTGCACAGCACATTTGACCCACAATATTAACAAGAAAAGTGCTTTTCTCTTTGAATGCATTGTCCAGCTTAACTCCGCTGCTCCCTTGCAGCCACCTGCATGTGACACTATACAGACCCCTGGACTTGTCATCCTGCCTGGTGGCACAACCTACCCCTGCCCTCAGCAGGATTTTGGCCTGGTTGAGCCCAGCTCCGAGGTAGGTGGGTGAAAAGCTTTGCTGGATGCTCAGCTGCCCTGGCTCTTGTACCTCCTCCTTGTCCTGGCACATCCCTGCCCCAGAGGGCTTTGCTACGGAGCCAGCTCTATCCTTTGTGCCAGCTGAGAGGCTTTTCCATGCTGGGGGAAACCTTAGAAGAGCTTTTAGGTGTAATTTAAATTTCCTTTGATCCAAAATCTCTGCAGGTAAAGAACTAATGCTATTAGAGCAGGCAATAACCGGCTGCTGTGCTGGAGCCTCTCAGGGAGCAGAACGGGCTCTTCTCTACCAGGCTGGAATAATTGTTCCATGTTCCTCCCCTGTCCAGTACACAGAGGGGGGCTTCAAATGGAATTGGATTGTGCAGAGTAAAGTCAGGACCATGGTCCTGCTGGTATGCACTCAAGGCCAGCTGGGAGTGCCCTGGAGGAAAGGCTAAAATTCACCTTTTGTGGAGTCAGGCACGATATCACATCCTTACCGTGCTCACAGAAGATGTTTAGTGTTGGTTGCCAAAAGGCCACTGAAAAGCGTTCTGTGCATCTCCTGCATTTGCTATTCCACACTCCTGAGTGTCCTGACACTGAGGTACCTCAGGGCACTTGTGGTACAGGACGTGGCCATCCCCAACAAGACCCCACCACGCTGGCACTGACCACCACAGCTCACCAGCTTTCACTGGGATCCCCATGCTGACACATGGGGAGCAGGGAAAAGATTCAGGATGCCACAAATGGGAGTGCCTGAAGAAAGCTCCAGGCAGTGCAGAAGTTTAAGGTTGTTTTAATGTCTGCTTCATTCTGCTTTTATCACTCTGGACAAGGAGTGAGTTTGAGGTTGGTTATTCTTCCCAAGTGTTGCCAAAGGCACAGCAGACCTTGTGTTATTCAGTCAGGTCCCAATCAGGACAGGGTGTGTTTCATCCCTGTCCTTATTTAGGAACCAGTTTTGCCTGGGGAGCATTATCTGTGACACACACAGGCACATGTTCATTCACTTGAAAACGCCAGCACTAATTCTGCCTTGCAGGGTGGAATCTTTTTTTCCCAGCGTAAGCATCTTGGACCCACATGTATTTGTGCTCCTGGCTTCAGGCTGGTGAATGGGAAGAAGAGCTGAACTTGTGCTAAAGGCAAAATCTGTGTCTGGGAACACAAAATAGCACAATCTGAGCTGTGATTTCTGGTGCAATGTAGGACACTGTATCAACACAGCTCCAGAACCTTGAGCAACAGTGTCCTGTGGTTTGATTTCCATTCTGGCATGCTAAAGTGCAGTCAGACTCAGGTTTTTTGTGGCACTTTCCATTTTTTATTTAGGGAATTTGAAAAATACTTGTCCTGAGGCTGAGCCTCAAGTTATGATCTTGGCATATCCATACCATTAAATTCCCGTGGATAAAAGCAGAAACATCTGGATTCATGAGTGGATGTTGGCTAAATCCACCAGGAAAAAAAAGAAAAAAAGCCTTTAGGGGATCCTAGAGGGTTCTAGCCAGGATAAATAATACAACAAAACAAGAGTGCTAGTAAGAGTAATTGTAATACTGAAGCCAAATTATAAGATGACGGCCAAGCCCTTTTCACAATCTGCTTTTCCAGCGAAGAGCCCTTCAATTTACACTTAACACACATGTGGCTGATAGAACAAAGGAAAAGTTGAAGGAGGATGAAAGCAGTGCAGAGATTATTCAGCCTTGCTGGTTTAGCTCCAGGCACATCGTTTAAATGAGTAGATGATCAGTTTCCAGTTTGTTTTAAATTTTCTGGCAAGAAATTTTATGCTCTATCCCAAAGTTGGATATGCTTAAAACTCTTTGTGTTTTTTTATTTTAAGGATCTGCCATTTTGTTTTTATTTCTTAAGGCAGGACTCTGGAAGTGCTCTGCAGGAGACACCTGAGTGCTGAGACTGGAGGAGCAGCCTGGTTATGTCCCTGAGGGGGCCTTGTAACTGTTCCCAGCTCCCTGGGGACCCTGGGATTGGGGAACTGTTAATCCTGTTTCCCCCCCATCTCTGGGAGGCTGAGCCCTGCCTTGCTAAGCCATGTGCTATACCTGAGCTCCACAGCACCCAAAGCCAAGGGAAGTGACCAAAACTGTTGTCCCACATACACTTGCAGCCTCTTTGGCTGCACTCTGTTGTACCAGCACTGCTCACCTGGTTTAAAGCTGGTGGAAGGAGAAAGGTTTGTGCTGCTTACCTCTTGCACCTCCTTTGGGTGTTTTCAGGGTTAAACGCTGCTGAACAGCACATCCTCTGCCACCCAGCCCTCCCTCCTGGGTCTCCTCCCGCACCTTGCACCAGGTCCCCAGCTCAGCCATGAGCATCAGGTCATGCAGCTTGTCCTCCCCTCCTGTGACAGGGTGAATGACAGCAAGTTGTGTGAATGTTGTGAATGAAAGTAAGTTGAACGTTGCTGAAAATGCCCTCAGCACACCAACCCTTCCCAAGCACTGCAGTCAGCATTTCTCATGACCTGTGCCTTGCCCATGCAGATCTGCCTTACCTGCACTGACCTTGCACATCGCCATTCCCGATTCCTGGAAAGCCTTGGATGTTTGCCTGCTCTGTAATCTTCAGCCAGCGCATCGTGGGGTGAGTTGCTTCATTGCGGAATAAAACCCCCCCGTGGGTCAGTCCTTGTCCCATCCTCCTCCTTCATTGCCCCTCTTCTTCCCTGTTGTCCGTACCACAGCTGACCTGGGGGAGCTGATCTGTTGGCACTGCTCCAGCAGGTCCTTCTCCATGGGCAGGCTTTAGGTTTCCTCCATGGAAACGCTTCCTGTGATGTGCTGTCAGTGCTTAACGCTCCCCGAAGCCTGACACTGGGCTCTGAGTGGTGAAACGCAGGTTTGGGGCAAGACAATACTTGAAGTATGACTGGAAATACCAGTGATGCACAAACAATGACGTTTAGGCTGCCATACGTTCCATAGAAGGAATAATCCTGTTTACACTGCAAGGAGTGGGAGTTTAATTCGCCTTAAAATAGCCTCGACGCGTCTAGGAAATCCATAAAAAGGACACCCTGGCATTTCTTAGGACATTATTTTCGGCAGATATGTTTATTTAATTTGCTGCCAACATCTGTCACTTCCTCCGCTGTTTCCCAGCACCCACAGTCTGGGTCTGAACCGAAAGCTGACAGGACCCAACACAAAATATTGAGCGCTGCTTCCCGTTAGCATCGCGGCCATCAAAGTGAAGCAGGGAAATGCATCTGCTCGTAGATGATGTTACAAAATATTTGTTTTAGATTAGCTGCTCTCCCACCCGCTGTCCACGCTGGCAGTTGTGTTCCTGCACCCAACTGGAAGGCAGCAGGAAGGTCTGCTGGAACTGCAGGTTCAGGAACAAAGCAGTTTGAGAAGCTGAGGAATGAGGGAGGAAGCAGGGCTAAATTTAGAACCCCCAGATAAGAAAAATACCTGTATCTTCAGTGCTTGGCTGTGGTTTTATTTTGTGAGGCACAAAACACACCTTGGTGTTGCACGGCTGTTTGCAGATTGCACTGACTCAAAGAGGGCTCGTGGAAAAAACGCTTTGATGTCTTCAGTAAACAAATAGCAGTGTTAAAAGATCCTCAGTTCTTGTTAGCGTGCTGCAAACAGCTATGTTTGAAGAAAAAATAAACATCCCAAGGTTGATGGAAGGGTAGGGAAGCCATAAAGTACTGCAGTCAACTCCTTGCTATAGGGACAACAGCAATGACAGTGCTGTGAAAAACTGTTTCTTTCTCCTTGTGGATTAAAAGGAAAAAACCAACTGTGTCAGGGTTTACCAGCTATGTGGTGGGAATACACGGGTATAAAACCCCATGGCTAAGCCCTTGCATCTCAATCACAAGAAAAATACCATGCCCACTGGAAAAACAAGGGGAGGATTTCCCTGGAGATGTCTTTGTCCAGCTATTAGGATGAGGGGGAGAAGATGCACCCTTCCTCCAACCCCTGCTTTGACTCTGCTTCCTCAGTGTTTCACCTGCTGTCACCAGAGCCACCAGCACCTCCAAAGCCTTGCAGCTCTGGGACCTCATCCCAAAAAATCCTCACCAGCTTTTATGCAGGGCAAACAGTCAGCTTCTACGAGGAGGCACCAGGCATGTATTGTGGTCTCAGTGAGGAGGATGAGGATTTCACACCATGTGCCTACCTGAGCTTTTACTCTGTAAAGCTCATTGTACCTGCCTCATTGTGTGACTTAAAACATCCCTTTGGAAATGCAAAAAACTTAGGAAACGAACCAAAGAAAAGTGCTAAAAGATTATCACAATTGCACCAACACAACCCTGGGAACCCTAATTTATATTTGTACACTTAATTTGCACTCGTTTAACAATCCAAATTAGGCTCAGAAAGAGAAAGTTTGAGGCTTCTCTGTGAAAGGAAATTAAAAATCAGAAGGCCATGATAATAATCAATACACCAATGTTTACTGCAAATGTAAATATTATTAAGAACCTCCAGGGAGCCTCTCACTTTAGTTTTATGTTATTCTGAGCATTTATCAGTTTAAAGATAGTTCACATGAACTAGGAAATAAATAATTCAGATACAGTGACTTTTTCATGTCTCTGTAGGATCACTAACGTCTTTCCTTTGATAACACTCTTGGTTTGCCTAACAAAGCTCCATTCCAAATGGGAACTGTGAGACAAAAACTCCATCCAAAGGACCAGGGCTTATAGGAAAAAAAACAGGAGGGGAAGGCAAAAATTCCAGGAAAAAAAAATAAATTTTATAATCCCAAAGGTAATAAGAAGTATCCCTCTGGCAACTCCATACAAGCTCTTCCCTTCATTGTGAGCCTCTCCCTGCTGGATTTGCAAGGAGGGTTTGTCACTAAAGCTGAGGCAGAAATGGCTCATAATAAACAGCAGCTCCTTAGAGACTGTAGCCATGGCATGGAGAGCTGTTTACCTGGCACCACAAGCACTATTCTGTTAATCTTCAGATGTTCCTACAGAAACAGAAGGTATTACACTGTGGTAAATAAGACTTCTTCGCCCCCAGGAATATGACTTTTTTTTCCCAAACTCACTGCCCTTCCCTTTCAGCTACAGAAAGCCCATCCTGTGATTTCTGAATTGCTCCTTCCCAAGAGGACAGGGCTCTTCCCAACCCAGAGAGAGCCAGGACTTGCTGACAGCAAGCTTGGGTGGCTGTTTCCAACCCTGACCTGCTCATCACAGCCAGTGGGAATCCAGCCTCTGCAGGACACGGACACGTCCTCCCACGCAGGACCTTCTCCCCAGCGACAGTCACTGTTGGTGTAACAGGTGTGTGACAAGGGATTTAGAGGGGATAGACTCTAGCTGGTAGTTTGAAATCAAGTGAATCATGCACTTCACGCTGTTGGTGTCTTTGCTCGCCCCAAATGTGAAAGGTAAGGGCTCTGAGAGCTTTGGGAGATGCCTGGGAGATGGGAAGTTGCCAAAGCAATTGTGTACTTTATCATCTGCAATCCCAGATTGCACTGCTGATTGATAATCATCAAACTGATTTCAGACCCATCCTCCCCCAGCTGGGTGCTGCCACCAGCCAGGCTGGCACTGGGTGCCACCCCAGGGCACATCCTGATCCTCCTAAAGACTCAGAGGGGACAGTTGTTCTTCAGGGCAAGTCAGCTTGAAGGGTGGTGGCTCCTCGGGCTGCCGTGGTGACGACATCACCTCTACACGGCAGCGAAAGCAGAGTGGCAAATTTAACAAGTAGTAATTTTACCATTAAACTCACACCCCTGAAGACCCTCTAATACCCAGTTCACCCTGTCGGGTGGGATCCAGCACTGAGCTGATTTATGGCGTAGCACAGCGGGCTGCATGGAGGGTGTTTATTCAAAAAACACCAGCTCTCTTTACCAAACACTATTTTATTTCTAGTTTAATTAAAACACAGTTAGCAAGCCTTGCAATTTTCTTAAACAAGCCCGATCTTCAATGGAATTAATATTAATCTCCGTTCAGCGTGCAAGTCAGTAAAGTGACACGTGGAAAATTACACATTCTTCACTCAGGAATGCAGCTTGGAGCATGACTTCATGCTCCTGTACGAGAGGATCAGCGTGCCAGATGCGCCTGGTGCCTGACCCCTTTACAGCTCTGAGAGATCACACGTCACTTTAAAATGTCATTTCATGCATGCAGGAGGAAGAAAAGGGAGCCTGGTCGCTTCATGTTACTGAGCCTCCATTTAATTTGGTTAGGGTGGTGTGAATGTCTCAATAACATGAGGCAGAGCTGTGATCTCTGGTCTGACTGTGTGTTTCCAATAGACACCCTGATGCCTTTCTCGTGGCCAGAGTGGTTAACAATCTCTATTTTCTTGCTATTAATTAGAAGCTGTATTTCATTCTGATGTTGAACGAGCCTCGCAGCGCAGCTGACAAGCTTGCAGTCCTCACTTCCAGTCAGGCATTGAATTTTACTGAATTGTTTTGCCTGGAGAGAAAAGCAGCAAATGTGAGTATAGAATTAATACCTTTTAAATTTGTGATTGTGTTTCTAAGCCACAAAAATCAGGTGGTAGTCAGACTTTCCCACTCTTGGCCCTTTTTTTTTTCCTGTGATAGACTTGAATGTCCTTTCTTTTTCCTTGCCTTGCTGCTCGCTCCCAAAATCCTGCTGAAAAGAATCCAGAGAGTGATCCAGGTCTCTGTAATAAGCACGTTCCCATAGCAAATTATATAAAAGCATTTTGTACACTTGTATTTTTCCTCTCCCCCAGTGCATTCCACGCACCTACACAGTCATGCTAATTAGATCATGTAATAAACTTAAATGTGGCAAAAAATCTGTTCACGGGGTGTTGCAAGACAGCTGGACTTGGAAAGCAGCCAGTCATTAATTTTGTTTTGTTTGAGAAAACCCAAAGGACATTATTTTACTGAAGATGAAGCAAACCCCAAGTAATAGGAGCTGTAATCTAAGGAGACAAATTATTTTATCTAAATAGTCTGCAGTGAGCCCTGATACAAGGATTTACTTATATGAGAAAAAAAAAACCAACAACAAACTATGAGAGTTTAACAAAGCCATTAAAAATAATTAAACCTAAACTAAAAGAACTTAACTAATGTCAAGTTAAATTTGATTAGTTTACTTAAATTTAAGTAATCGAAACTAAATGAATGTTAACCCATAATGTTAATTCATACCTATAGAGGACCAAAGTATCAAGAATTAACTTTGAGCCTCAGGTGACTTTTAAATTAAAGGAAGTGTCCACATGGGATATGGTGAGAGATTAAATATGCACCTGATCAATTTTTCTATAGATGGTCTATATTACTGTGCATAATACAGTAATCCCTGCATTTTTGTGGAAATGCAGGAGCCTGAAAACAGGGCCTACTCTGACATACCACTTAGTGTGGCAACCTTACACTTGCACACTGACTTCTAGTGAAAAGAGTAACTTTGAGCCAGTCTGGCAGCAGTGTTTAACCGGTCCTGGGGTTCATGATACAGCTGGTAACGGGATCAGCTCTTGGGAAAATATCACTTCCTTAATTTCAGTTCAGATGCTGTAAGTTTTGGCCACTGAATTGCAATTAAATCTGTGGATCTATTGACCTGATGCTTAAACAGAACCCCGGTAATTCTCCAAAGCATCCAGGCAGGCTGGGAGCGTGCCCAGAGGACTGCGCTCCTGCAATGCTAACACAAGCAGTGACACAGAGCACGAAGGACTGACACGTTATGGAACACGGGGGAGAAGGAGCTGAGGCTGTGGTTGTGGTGTGATGGTCCAGGAAATGCCTGATTCCACCAAAAATGCCGTTAATGAAGCATGTGATAACTTCCAGCTATATTCTTGATCAACACTAGATGTTGCTGTGCTGCTGCTCATATAAGCTATACATTAGTGAGGCTTTTAAATGGTATTTACTGCAATTTCCTCTTTCCTGTTTCTGTTAGACACTATATCCTGACACTATATGGCTGGGGGAGCTGCTACTTTAATTTACTTTTCCTTTGAAGCTTCAGTTTTTATTTGTGTAATAGCAAGTTTATAACCCTCTCAAATGTACATGTAAAACTTTACAAGCAAAAGAGACTCTTACAAGTAATGACATGAAGCAACTCCTATATGAATGCCAAATATTTACTTAAACTCTGCTTCTGGATTTTTTGCAATCCAAGGGGAATGACATTGTTAACCGGACGATTCCGGGAACAGACTGACAGCTGCAAGGCCACGGAGGGAAGTTTGTTTATCAGGGGACAAAAAAAAAAAAAAAATTAAAAAAAAAAATGTTTAGTCCTGCTGGGTTTCAGGCTTTTTACTCCCACGTGTTTGAGTGGGAGAAAGGACAAATCTTGGGACGTTGATTTCCCCATGGCAACAGAAAACGGAAATTACTTTAACCCCATCTAGTGACAGATGACTCATTGCTCAGCCTGCTGCTATTTTCCAAGCACTAAAACAATACAGCTGCAAAGAAAAGGCCAGTCTGTATTATCTCATAGGCTGAGCACCGGGCTCGTGGGAGAGGGCAGTTCTCTGGCTGCCTTTGCATCAAAAAAAAGACAGAGCTGGAGCCTTCTGGTTATTCTTTTATTGTGTGAGGCAAACGTGCCCATGTGTTCTCCATCCCTGCGCTGCTGGAATGCAAACCTGGGGCATCCCTGGGATGGAGGTGATGCAGCATGGGGTGAGCTGCTGGTGGGTGTCCTACTGCTTGGTCCTGCTTGCTCTGATTATCATGGAATCATGGAATGGTTTGGGTTGGAAGGGATCTTAAAGATCTTAAAAAAGGGACACCTTCCACTAGCCCAGGTTGCTCCAAGCCCTGTCCAATGTGGCCTTGGAGACTTCCAGGGATGGAGCAGCCACAGCTTCTCTGGGCAGCCTGTGCCAGGGCCTCCCCACCCTCACAGTAAAGAACCTTTTCCTAACATCTAATCTATACCTCTTTCAGTTTAAACCTGTTCCCCCTTGTCCTATCTTGCATCCAGGGATCCAAAGGGACATTGCCATACTTTCAGTTTAAACATTCCCCCCTACCTTGAATTCCATGGAATGAACTGTGTGTGCAATACAGGAACTACTCATTCCCAAATGCAGCTGGATCAGGACAGCAGGTATGAGTAGGGTTTCCATGCCCTTACATGTGAAGGAGATACCTGATGGCAGAAATACATTGCTGTATTGCTGGGAAAGTCATAACAAATTCCCAGAGGGAAAGCTGAAATAGAAGTATTCATCTGTGAAAGCCTACTATGCTGGGTGAAAGGTTGGAACTAGATTATCTTTGAGGTCCCTCCCAACCCAAAACATTCTAGTATTCTATGAAAGGGTAATTAGGGAGAGTGATTTCTGAACAAAGATGATGGAACCATTATTTCTTGGAGGCCTTAAAACCAGATGTGGTGTTGCTGTGAAAGACAAGCCTCAGTCCAAGCTGTAGGATGAAGAAGTAAGTGATGCACTGTGGAGGTCAGCCCTAACAGCCCTATCTGTCTTCTTGCCCCTTAGACCCCCTGCAGCAGAGCTGCCCAGAGCCACCAGCTCACCTGAGGAGCATCTCTGTTGGAGGACAACTCTTGCTCAGCCCCTTCTGGACATGGCAGTGAAGAGCTGGTTTGGAGAGGAGATAATACAAGCTCGAGGTTTAGAGGGTGATTCATCATCGGCCTCTTTCCACCAGCAGATCAGTGCAGGAGGCACCCTCTCCTCAAATGCTGGTTTTCTTGAATCCTAGTAAGGATTTAGTAAGGTTCAGACATAGGGCCTCAGGTGCACGTTACACATAAAATATTACACCACTGAATGGGAAAGGAATTAATGCTACCCTCAAGATGATATACTGAATAACTGGTCAGTTAATATCACTTTATTCACCACAAATTGGGGTCAGACATCACAGTCTTGGGAAATTCAGGATCCCAGGAAAACTACATGGCGGGACTGTGCCACGGGATACGTGAATCATTTTCTTTCTGAGAAAAACAGGTTGAACTGCTGGTAAAATATCTGAGTCTTTACTCAGTCCTGTCATTTGTATGCTGGTATGATTAACTTTCTAGCAGCAGAAAATCAGGTCCATAAGGTTCTATTTGGACAGTATAATTAACAAAAGGAATAGCTCCGTTACCAGGTTGTTCTGGGAACCAGACTCTGGGGCTGCATTAGCAACACAAAGATTATATTCCTGCAGGGATCAACACAAACCAACATGATCTGATGGCCAAACCCAGACCTTGAACAGGGAGCTCCATCAGCACTCTAATATCTGTGCCTCAGCGTGGTTTGTTATCTGGGAACACCCTGAGCTTGGCTACAACCATCCCAAAGTCATCATTTCACCAGCAGCTGGAGCGGGGTGCTCAGGTCAGCTCTGATTTCTGGAGAAAGAAAAGGGATGGTTCAATCTGTGGGTGCTGCTGGGCTATGAGGTGTTATCTTACTCTGATACTTTCCCTACACTTCTGTTCAGTGCTCCCCTACAGCACAAAATGTTCCCCTTCCCAAAACTGCAAGAGCCCTGTGAAACTGCCAGCTGTGGGGAAGGAGAACCAGAGATCACCACAGCTAATTCAAGAAACAGAATATATGACTGTTACCATCTAAACTTATGCCAGCCTAGTAGATCCAGAGAAATCAGATTAAATTCCAGCTTTTGAGAATCCATCATTCAGCATTCTGGAAGAGCTTTGGAAGCCCATGACTTAATGGCACTGAACAAAAAGACTGTTCCTTTCAGAGAAGAAGCTATTGCCAAAATGTCAATGTAGAAAATGGGAATAACAGTTTTAATTTGGATTTTTTCTGCTTTAGTGTTCTCTCCACTTCTTTAACTAGAAAACTGCTTTATTACCTGGGAAAAAATACTTTTGTATTTTGCTGCTTGAGGGGGAAAAGAGCTAATTAAATTTGTAAAAGTGGAAAATAATGTTAAGAGGTCTTTGTAGGGCTGTGGTTCTGACTGCTGGTGTCAGCTTTACTGCCAATATGTGCAGATGGTAATGAATGAGCTACCATCGACCATCCTTTATTGTCCTAGGGCCCCACTCTGCTCATAAATGTCTTCACTGGTTATTATTTCCCATTATTTAGTGTTCATTTGGTGAGTGCAGTGATCCCATGGATGCTGTTCCCCAAACCAGCAGAGCAGGATAAGAACTGGCAGATTCTCTTCCAAGCCCTCTAAGCCAGCACTGAGAGGCTGCAGAGGATGTGCTGCTCCAGCCACAGGTGAGGCAACGTCAGCAATGAAACCAAGACTTGCACAGCTGAGTTGCTTGTACATAAATATGATTTTCCAGCAAGGGCCTGGGCTGCTGGGACCTTTGTAACAGAGAGCCAAGGCCAGGCCTGGCCCCAGGGGTGAGGGTGTGCAGGGCTGGTGGCTGTGCAGGTGGGTTTGAGCAGGGTGATGGAAGGTGATGATTCTCCCAGTGGGCTCCAGGACTTTCAGGTAATGCAATCAGACTTTCCACAGAACATGCTGTACTGAATTTTGCATAGCCAGAGGATAGCATTTCTTCTCCCAAACAAGGACGTAATAGTCTTTTCCAGAAGAAGAATATAAATGACTTTCCCAATAACAGTATTTGATGCTGTGGGCAAATGTAGCATCTGCTCTCTGATTTACCAGCCTGATGCCTGTGCTGGGTTCAGTTCTTCACAGTCGTCCTTAGAAACACTTCCTCTGCCTCTTTCAGTGTAAAAACACTGCGGTGACTTATGGAAACCACAAACAACCACTGCACACTTTCTGTCAGTAATTCTTCGTTCGTACCAACGGGTTCTTTCAGACATATCTGTAGTTTCTATTTACTGCTCTGCAGCCTGTCTTGCCCTGACACCTCATCCCCAGGCAAAGGCAGCAGGCAGAGAAGCTCTTCTCCTCTGCCAGGCTGATGGAGATTGGGGTCCAAACCCTCCATCTCCATTTCTTCAACTCTGGCAGAGTATTTTCATGCCTGTTAAGCCACGAGGGCTTAGCTGTGCCTGGCTCTCTGGCCAGCCAACAAGCAGCCTTCAAACCTCCTAGAGAACCCCAAGGATAGTTTCCCTTGGACTGCAGGCTCCAAGAATTACCACCCTTTTCCAATTCTCATCAAGGCAGAAAGAGTTTCTTCCTTGGTGTCTGATTCTCCTAAACACGTTCAAGTTTTCCTACCGGAGCTTGCCGGTTTCCAAACAGAGTTGCCTATAAAAGTTTCCCTCAATTTCAACACATTTTCCCTCGCACTGAAGCTGTGGAAACAGTCGCAGGCTGCCAGCTTTCCTGGCTCACCTTTTGAGGAAGGCTGCAAAGTCGTGTTTCCTGGGACTACAATTCCCAGAAGGCATCTTATCTCCCTGCCAAGCAGTAGCCGAGGCTCGCTGGGGCTGTTGCATCTTTCGAAAGGCTTCCTCCCGCTGTAACTGTGGATGGGACAAGCTTTCCTGGAGCAAACTGTCCAGCACGGGTGTCTGTGCAGGAGGGGAGCACTTTGGGGGGGGGTAAGGCAGGTCCTGCTGCTGCCACTGCCCGTCTGTCTCAGCACAGCTCTGTGCAGAGCCAGGGGAGAGCATCTAAGGTCAGTGCCTGAAGGCACTGCTTCAACTTTCATACAACTACAACATCCCCAGGCTGTTTAAAGGGCTGGCTGGTGTTAAATTAAGTGTTTTAGGGACTGCGTGGGAACGTTAGAAATGCCCTCCCCAGCCATGTGTCTCCACCGAAGTAATATTTCAGCCTGTCTGCTCTGTAAGAGTCCACGAAATCCTCCTCTGTAGCCTCTGATCAGACACGTTTGTGGTTCCTGCCTGAAGGATGATGCCAAACGCCCCGCTGGCTTCCTCCTCCCAGGGGGACAGTCTTGGGAAAGATTTTTAAAGGAACGACCAAACTCAATGGCCCTAAGCAGTCCCCGTCCTGTTTCATGTGACGTGACTCAGTGCCATACTTGGTCACTTAACGAGGCTTGGTGCTCCTAATTAAAACCAGCTTTTGCCCAGACTATGGCTGTGCGAGGGCTGTCTCGGTCATTAATAGTGGTGCTGCCCTCAGCAAACCTATTTGGGGGCGGGGGGAGCTGTAACCTCCTGAAGGGATGCTTGGTTTTTGCAATCAGAATGCAAAGGTGTTTCTTTTACAACATCCTTCTGAAGTCTGCCTCGCAAAACACTGAAAACCCGTGACTTTGTCTGGAGTCACGAGGAGCCTCCCAACAATCAGCCAGACTATGTCATCGGCAGCTTAAAGGTCCGAGGCTGGTGTTTGCAGTGCAGAGAGGTTAGGCTGGGTTTCCAGCAAGCCAAAGGAGTTGGGTAATGAGCAGCATCATGTGTTCAGTGCTTTAAAAATGCAGTGGGGCTTGGGGTGGAAACGGGAAAAAGTCAGGCTGGTGTTTCACAAGTAGCACATTTTTCCCCATGTGCACAAGGCAGGATGACTCAGCTGCTCACTGATAACAGTAGTTTGCTGAAATAAATACTGACCTTCAAACAAGTGCTATCACTAAGGTAAATAACGGCCTAAATACAATCAACCTAACCCTTGCATGTTTTTTTTGGTCCACTACTCTGGAGGGTTTTTCACTTGGATCTCTCCCAGGAAATCTCCACATCCCTTTTCACCCTTATTGGAGCCTCAGGAGAGCTTTGCTCTGTGGGTTCAGCCTGACAAAAGTGGCAGTGTCAGGAACTAGAAGATGAAAAAGAAAAGTGATTTCAGACTAAAAATGAGATGACCTTCCAAAAACTTTGATTGAAGCACTTCTGAAGAGTTTGTAAGAAATATCCACACCTGCCACCTGTGTGCACAAAAATTTGGATTTGCACACCTAAATATGCCAGTATTTGGACACCTGAATATGCCAAAATTATAGTGCTTGGTGACTGTGGGGAAGGAGTGTCCTCCCTCCCCAGTTTGTTCTTAGAGAACCTCCTGGGGCCAGCTGTGTCCCTGTGGGAGGAGGATGCTGTGTGCATGAGCACATGGCTCCCCTGGGACCAGACAGGCACCAGAGGCAGCAGAAGAAAAGCAGAACCACCCTGTCAAGATATTTTAGCAAATTTGAAATAGCCCAGCGGTTTCATACCGGACGAGCATGCTGTATGGTGTTCTGAGCCAGCACTTGCAGTCCTGGAGCACCTTCTCCTCTGCCTTCACTGTGCACCTCTGACATCCCTGCCTCTACTCACCCACTTTTAAAGCAGTGTGAATACCCTCATAGCACAGGTCAGTTAAAAACAATGAAGAGTGGCTGGCCAGAGCCCTAGTTTTGCCTGGTTTTCTGAAAACCGCAGGAGATTTTTCCTTTCCATGTAATAAGGTTAGATGCAAGAATTTTTTTTTCCCACTGCTCTGAGATAAGAAGTCACCTCTTCCTACCTTAAATATTGAACTACTTATTAAAAAAGAAGGGGAGAAAAAAAAAAGGCCATGAACCACTGGCTATTGGGTCCTTCCGTGTAACTCTAAAGTGACGTTGGAAAGAGGAAGCGACTCAGAGCTGGAGCCGCGCCGGGCGATCCTGCGCTGCTGCTGCTGTAACTTCACCCACTTCTCTCTTCACCTCACCTACTCGAGGGATATCTGCCTCCCAGAGCAGAGGTGCTGCCTCAGAGGTCCTCTCTGAAGGGCTCCAGGAGTGCTGCATCCACGGGGTTTCCCGCTGCTGGCTGTGTCCCACGTATTAAAGCCCAAGGACAGCCTGTCACATCCTTCCAGAGGGAATTCAGTTCAGATCCAGGTGAGTACCCAGCTGGTTGGAGCAGAAGTTTGCCAGGGCTGGATTGGTGGGATACTTTTTGTCTTGAGGTTTAATTCTGGGAATTTCACAAACAGCAGGAGAAAGTGATGTGAAGTCATCCTCTGCCTCATCAGCTTAAGTCCACTCCTGAATCCAAAGCATAGTTTAGCTTTAAATGCAGGAGGAACGGCACTGCCAGGAGATAAGGGTGTTTGGATCTGGGATGGGCAGTTTGCTCAAGGCAGTCCTTGGTTACTTAAGTCAATACTAAACACTGAGGTGCAGCTCTGAATCACACCCAGCTACAGCCTCCACTCCCGTAAACCATCCTGGAGATGTTTGGTTATGGGGAGAACCCAAAGGTTTGGAAACAGGTGTCCTCTGAAGCAGCTTTTCAGTGACACATTAATGCAAATTCCAAGTAAATGCTGGTCATTTGCATAAGGACCTGCCTGGAGAGATGCCAGGAACGGTGCTGTGACCCCAAATAAATGCCAGCCCTTTTATGAGCACAGAAACCTCCAGTGTCCTCAGCTGGAAACCAAGGGCTGTGGAGCAGATGCCAACCAAACTCCTCTCATTCATGTCATACAGCTACACGTGGGAGAGCCAGAAAACTCCCAGCAACGACCTTCCTCTGACTTCTCTGGGATAATTGGGTAAGCAGGTATCCATTATGGACTGGCAGAAAGTTAAAAACTAAAGACAGTGAAAAAAAATAAAATAAAACCAAAGTGGCCCATCTCTGGGTGTGTGTTACCAGCTGCTGTACATGATGCTCACAATTAAATTGCTGAAGAACCGGTTCTGGGTCGGGTTTACGTTCCCTCAGTAAGTGTGACAGAGGGTAAACCAGGAATTTGGCACTTCAAGGCCACTCTCATTTGAAGGTTTAATAAAGACTGGCACTTCTGAGGCTGTGTGCTGCTGGCTGCTCTGTCTGTTAGTGTTCTTTATGCTTTTGTTAATCATTTTCGGAACTCTAATGGTGGAACACCGATGGCCAGCGAAGGGAGTGTAAAAACGGGGTGAAAGGCAAAAATTTTCAACGTTTTTTTCTTTAAAGTTTTCCTCTGTTTGAAGAGGACCTGATGTCTTAGATGGGTGAATGGGCATTGTGTACACACTGGTAAATACCGTCCTGCTCCAGGTGCTGAT